ATTTGTTTCCACAACCCAGGCTGGCCCAGCTCGAACCTGTAGATCACTAACATCACAGGAGCCGTTGCCTCTTCTACACGCACGCACATCTCTGGTTTTCGGGGCACGTCCACTCCTTATCCTGTCCCAGCTTGTCATCATGTGCACAAGAGGAATTTCCAATTACCTTCCCTATCATCATGCTGCATAGCTAACCTACAAAATAGGAGCCCTGGTGGTGCAGTGGTTAAGCATTGGGCTGTAATCTGCATGGTCACAGTGTAAAACCAGCAGCAGCTCTGCTGGACAGAGACTGGGCTTTCTAGTCCTGTCAACAGCCTCGGGAACCCAGGGGGGTCATTGAGTAGCCGCTGACTCAATGGCAGAGTTTGGTTGGTCTGAGAACCTATAAAAAATTGCAATGTCTACTCCCTTAAAAACAAAAAAAGAAACAACACTTCAAATAGTGTTTTTCCTGTTACAAAAACATGAGGTCAAATCCAGAGCATTTTATGTATTAGTTGTCAAATTTACCTGAAGAAATGTTGACAATTTCTTTAACGATGGCATTCTGAGCTTCCTCATACTCGGTTTTATTTTTAGTATACTCCTCGTTGAAAGAAGTCAATTTACTGAAAATCAAGATCATGGTATTAGTAATAATGTTGAAACATTTACTAGAGGTAACATATATCCAGAGAACCCTAATGATCAACAATAATTAAAATGGAAATACAAGCAAAAAATAAACAACTCCTTAGAGGCACACGTGGCTAGAATTCAGGCTATCAACACTCCTTCTTGCTGTTTGGAATAGCCCGATGGCACAATTTTGCTGTAATTGCTCCCTTGAGTAAAATTCTATCGATGCCATTTTATAAAATATTTAGATGTGAACAAGTCTACATTCCTATTTAGATGGGAAGTTACTACATTCTCCCTTTGAAATAAACAAACACGGTGTTTTTCATGACTGTAACATAACTGCCCCAAATTGACAGTTGTCAAAATGATTTTTTTTTAAAGCAAAATCTAACTGAGTGATTTGAGTGAAAACAACAGATTAAGAGTAAAGATACTTGAGAGCGAGGGAAAGGAAGGAAGGAGAAAATCAATGGTTTCAAAGACAGGGGTAGAAATTAAGGACCAAAAGTCTGGAGGGGAAGAGACAGAGGAGGGTGTCCTTGGCAGAGTTGGGAGGCGATCAACCAGGTAACTAAGGCAACACTTCTAATTTGATGGGCTGAGCCCGGGGTGTTCACTGTGCCTCCAGGGCAGCTCTTGGCCAAGGAACTAAAAAAACAAACAAACTAGGCAACAGACAACAGAAGAGACTTCAAGGCAGGCGGGCCAGGGACAAAGCTAATAGCAAAGTGAGATCGTTGGGCTGAAAATGAAGAGTTTAGTACAACAAAGATGGCAGAGACCAGATAATAAAAGTCATAATAGACCTTGGATATGATTTGGGTGGTGGGTTGGGGGATTATGAGAAACAACAGTACAATCCGAGAGCTCTCATCAGAGTTGGCTACGTTAGAAAACATTCCATTTAAATGAATGAATCTTTCAAAACATTTGACATTACTGCACTCAGCCCATCTAATCCCTTTTAGATATCATAAATAACTCATGGACAAGGTTCTGGCTTCTCTAAAGCTCAAACATCGGCACTTCTTGAACCGGGAGGAACATACAGCACTGCAAAAAAAGGTCGTAAAGGGAGGAGAAATAGTCACAGCAACCAAATGCAACAACCGCCTCACCTGTCCGCTGTTACTTACTGGCTGACTGACGTCTGAGAACTGACTTCTCAACCTACTCACCTATAAAGAGAAAGGTGGCCTGTCCGATTTACCTCGGGCTTGCAGTGAAATACACACCGCATCCATTACTGACGTCCTCTGAACACCTGAGACCATCGTTACGCATTCCACACGCAATACCAGCTCCTGAATGGACCACAGGAGAGCCTCTAGGCAGGAGCTCGCAGTAAACTGGTGGGAAAGTACCGGGAAGCGTGGTAGTAAGGCAAGTCAGAGGCTCGGGGGCAGTGCGACACCCTCCAAGTCAAAGACTTCACCAACAGTTAAAGCCGAGATGGCCGGAACCTGTGCAACATGGAAGCCTGCCTGAAAGGACATCACCAAGGCCTTCCACAGATAAAAGCGACGAGAACGCTCAGGCTGCACCTTGTCAAAGAGGGAAAACTCCAGAGACCGGGCAGCCCATTCCAGCTCTCACAGAGTCTGCTGCCATTCTTTGTTCACTTCTGACTCACGTGCCCTGGGGAACTTCCTGACATCAGTCAGGGAGGAAGAAGGCAGAAAAACTGTCAATTTGTTCCAAGTGGTAACAATGCTGTAGCTCAGTGCATGGCCTCATTAAGCTGGCAGAGAGCTCCCTAAACTAACTTGTGCATCCAACCGAAATAGCAGAAATGAACGACTTAGTAAATGAGAGAAAAGTTCTCTTTGAAAACAGAACTGTGCGGAACAGAGAACGTGAGGGGAACCAGGCTTCATAGATAGGGGAAATGATGTAAGACGAATATCATACAATCAAGTTAGTACTGACAAAGGAATTGTCAGACATGTAAAATGGAAGGGGGGAAAAAACAGTGCTAAAAACTATTGCAACGCACCACTGCAGTCAGCGAGGAAGAGAGATGATTTACCAAGTGGGCCTGCAATAGCTAACGCATCATCGGCAACAAAAGCCCCCACGCCTTATCAGTGAACAAGACACAAGATAGAGCTACAGAATGCAAGCTTACACACCTGTTGGTAAATTTGACACCGTTCTTCTGGAAATCGACTGTAGTGAAGTTCTTGTTGTTACGGAGGGCTTTTTCATCCTTACAGGTTACTCGGAAGTAGTATCCAAACTGAGCGCTGGAATCCAGTTTAATCTGCTTGCCAGGCTCCAAGCCTGCATGATCAGGGGGAAAAAGAGAAAGTGTTCCATCAAAAACTACAGGCCTTTCCCACAGTAAACCTCTTAAACGACTGAGCCAAAAGGAAAGCACGTTCTATTGCATGACAGCATACCGGAAGCTCTTGACTAAAGTTGCCCAATTAATTCAAGTTCCACTTCACTCAAAAACTACATGAATTGAGGGTGACAGAGCCCTGGACATATAGCGCTTGTGAGTTGGGCTGCTAAGCGCAAGACCAACAGTTCAAAACCACCAGCCAGCTCCACAGCATAAAGTCGAGGCTTTCTACTCCTATAAAGAGTTACAGTCTCAGAAACTCACAGGCGCAGTTCTGCCCTGTCCTGTATGTTCACTATGAGTCAGAATCGCCTCCCGGGCAGTGCAGTGGGTTTTTTGTTTGGTCTCTGAGTATAAACGCCACAGGTGGTAGGTACTATGATTTAGGTGCTGGGCTGCTAACCAGTAGGTGGGTGGCTCAATCCCACCAAGGGAAGAGATGAGGCAGCCTGTTCCCATAAAGATTCCTAGTCTCAGAAACCCTACAAAGTCACCATGAGTTGCAGCTGACTTGATGGGTGTGGGTTTATGACTGCTAAGGCACAGAATGTTCACTTTCTATATTGGTTCGATTCCCAAGCAATGTAGCTCAGGTGCAGCCACCACCCATCTCTCTGTGGAAGCTCATGCATTTCTACTCTGTCAAACAGGCCTCAGTAGAACACCCAGGCTAGAATAGACGAGGAAGAAAAGCGTGTCAATCTCGTTCCAAAGATATTAGCCAATGACCACCTTATGGAGAGATCACAACAGTCTGATCTGCAACCATCATGGGATGGGGAGGGACTTGGCTCACTACACATCCAGGTGACACTATCGACTGTGTGTCTCCTTGGAAGGCAAGTCTATGTGTGGAGGACAGGGAGGGTGTCCAACAGGATCGATGTCAACAGCCTACAGGACCATGATGGGCTGAGCCCACGCCAGTGATGAACAGATCTGTGAACTTTCTGAATGTGGAGGGCAGCTGGGTACAGCCAGAGAGCAAAGCCAACCAGACTGCCTGAGTAAGTGGAGCAGTGCCCAGAAATGATTCAGCCGCCCTTACCTAGATCTCGGGCTGCACTCACTAACGTTGACTGCATCTTCTTTTCCAAGTCATCCATTACCTCTCTTAATTCGGTCAGATTAGGATCGAAAGAGGGTTTTACAAGAAATTCGTGGTTTTCCACCTGTAAATGGAACAGAATGGTTAAATTGCAAAGCCCAGAGCTCTAAAAGTTCACACGAAACAGACCCAGTGCTTGGGGGTGGGGGTGGGTGGGGGGTGGAATGGGCTGCCTTGTGCTGTTTCCACACACAGAAAGCGTCCCTCCCTTACATCACTGTTTTTTGTCATTTATTTTTTTGGTGGTTCTGATATAACTTTTTAAAATCATTTTATTAGGAGCTCATACATCTATTCTCACAATCCATACATCACGTTTTTCCTAAACAATGTTCAACACATTTCATAAACGTTCAAAACCTACAACCAAGGATCTACCTTCGAAATCCCGTAACCTTACCTCTAACAAGCCCGTAGAATTGTATTCAAACCAAAGAGGTCATCAAACCTCGGGATTTATAAACATACCCCTTAGAACTTTATTTCCCTAAAAGATAGACCTAAAACCAAGCACTGTCACGGGTAAAAACATTTAGCCTTGATGAAAGATAACGGCTTCTTAGGAAATGTTAAGGTATCGACACACAAAGAGGCAGCCGTGAGGGGAGGGGACAAAACTGAACGCTGCCTCTGCTCTTTCCCAGCGGTTTCCCTGGAAAGCGAGGAACAGTGGGACTTCCTCTGTGCCTGTGACAAAACCGCGAAACTTTAAAGACAAAATGAGAGAACTTTTTTTAATTGGAAAAAAAAAACCGAAGGCTGTCTATACTAGACATTATAAACTACAAAACGGTATCTCAAACTGGGTTCTGAAAGCCAGAAACCATGACACTCCATGGGACAGAATGCTGTCTCACAGCAGGTTCAATTATACCTGTAACAGCTTATATTATACCTTAACGCAAGACATCACACTGTCTAAACCAGAAAAATCATTCAATAAATAGGGCTGAGATAACTTCATCTCAATTATTAACTACTTAATCAAAATACATATTTATAAATCATTATGAACTCCAAAAGAGTGAGCAATAAATATAAAATTATACAGCAATCTAGTATTTAAAAAGGGGATGAATGAAATATTTATCAAATAACATTCTCATTTTAAACTAATCAAATAAAGTTAAGATTAAGTTCTAGAGGAGCTGATGCCAAGGGCTTAAGTGGAGAGCAAATGCTTTGAGAATGATGAGAGCAATGTGCTTTACACAACTGATGTATGTATGGATTGTGATAAGAGTTGTATGAACCCCCAATAAAATGATTTAAATAATAAATTCATTCATTTAAAAAAGATTAAGTTCAATCATATAAAGTATTAATATTTAATTGTTTTAGTAAACCTAATGTTTTAAAAGTTGAAAAATTTATAAAAAGAGCTTTTATACAGGCATCAAAGAAAAAATCATATCATTGTGTGCTCACCACCCTGATACAATCACTGAAGACAAACGTATGCATAAACAAATGTGGTGAAGACAGCTGATGGTGCCCGACTATCAAAAGATATAGCACCTGGGGTCTTAAAGGCTTTAAGGTAAACAAG